AAAAAAAAAATAAAGAAGTCTAAGAGGGGTATTTGGAGTGAAGAAAACTTGTTAAAAGTAATAAATATGGTAACTGAAAAAAAATCATCTATTAGAAGTGCTTTTAAAAAGTATCAGATACTTTATGAACAAATTAAAAGCTTACATTCTCAAATAAAGATGTGTTCCTTAATTAAGACGTTTTCAAAATACTTTTAATGATGAATATGAAATCAAATGTATAATCGATTTTTAGGATTTTCTTGGCATGAATTTTTGAGGTTAGTTTATGATTTAACTGAAGAGTTGAAGATTGAGCATCATTTCAACAAGAAAAAAAGAATAGCAGGAAAAGATTTCTTTATACATATATGTTATTTGAGCTGTTGGTTTCAACAAACCTCAAGTAGATTGTTTTTCTGATCTTGATTATCTAGCATCTATGATAACAGATATTCCTATGGCAATTGAGCCATAACAACAGCGACAAAGCAAGTAAATAAGCTACCAGAAAATTAGCAATAAATCTATCACCAATAAATGATTCATTAGTAATAAGTGAGACATCAGCCATGAGTAACAACATTCTCAATAGAATCACTCAACAGCGACTTATAAATTCTACCAATGTAACCTCCACTGCCATTTTTGTTTCTACAACACCTAATACAACAATCGTTTTGAAAAAATCATTAACTTTAAATGCAGCTACTAAATCTGTAGTTACTGATGTTTTAAATGTTTTATTTCCAATTCCTACAATTTATCAAAAAAGAATTTAAAAAAAAGAAAAAAAAAAACTCAAAAAAGTAAAATTCTCACCTCTTCTCTCTCCTTATGTGAAGCAAATCATTGATAAGCATGGAAAGCTTCCTATACTCACTTAATTAATAATATATATATATATATATATATATATATATATATATATATATATATATATATATATATATATTAATATATATATGTATATATATATATAATATATATTTCTTATTAATATATATATATATATATAAATATATATATATTAATATATATATAAATTAATATATATATATATATATATATATATATATATATATATATATATATACATATATATATATATATATATATATATATATATATATATATATATATATATATATATATATATATATATATATATATATATATATATATATATATATATATGTATATATATATATATATATATATATATATATATATATATATATATATATATATATATATATATATATATATATATATATATATATATATATATATATATATATATATATATATATAGCAACGCCGAAACCGTGAATGATAAAAAATACCGGATGGAATTTTAAATATAAAGTAAATTACATCTTAATAGTAATATATTATTTCTCTTTAGGCAGCCGCTTAATGTGCCAAACCCTATTTCCGCCCATGACGCTAAAATAAGCGTGCTAACTATGATAGCATAGAAACGTTAGTTTCTTTGCTATCATAGTTAAACGTTTTTTCTAATACTAATAAGAAAAATCAAAAAATAAAGACAACATTGAAAAATATTCAAAATAAAGCAATCTAACAATTAGGTTGTGTGCAATCTAAAAGTTAAATGATGTGTAATAGGGTGGGCTAATGTAAAAAAGTTCCATGTAAAAAAGTTAAGTTTATTTATTTGTTTTACAATAGTTTGGGAAAGTTGCCTCAACATACAATGATTAAATTGTAAAAATATTAGAGAGTGTCTTAATTTACCATAACTAAGACTTTTCAAAGAATAAAATAATTAAATAGATAAAGATTCAAAGTCTTACACGAACAAACTGATTCAGCTACAGCTTTTAGGTCAGCGAGATATGTAAACTGTTTGAAAAATATAATGGGCACCATCCTTGCGAAATGAATTAGCTTTATTTAAAAGCCAAACTGGTGCATACACCATCATGATATATGTTACAAAAGTAATCAAATTCTTTGAAGGAGTAGTGGTTGAAACATAGATCCACAATAACCTATTTGCTGCTGTTAACCATCTAGCGTGCGGAATTATTCCCAGTTCCCGTCGTGACTGGTCTGTGAAGCAAATTCCACTTGCAACTGTTTTACACATATAATAATTTTTTTTTTGATTTATGCTAAGTTGAATATTTGTCACATCTGGTAGATCTGAATCAATTGGAACAAATGCAACAACTAGAAATTTTTCACAGTTTAACATTAGCTTTCCAATTACTCTGGAGAATGCACGTTGACCTGATGTAGGCCCATCCAAATTAATTAAAGGTGGCAAAGGGGAGGCTAATTTGCATGGAGTTGGCATATAAATTATTGTAAAGATTTGCCTAATTCCTCTTCTAAAAGTTTAATTACCCCGTTTTTGTGACCTTTTGTTAATATTGGTCTTATTACATCCTACGGCGACCAAATTATCAAATTTGGTCGCCGTGGTTAAAAATATACAAATGCGCTGTTAGCTTGACTAGTTTTTCCATCACCATAATCTGGTATGCTTACAAGCTGTATAACTAAATTTGATCTATCAGTAGTAACCCATTGGTTAAATTCGATAGTCATTCGATAATATCTTCTTCCTCAAACTGGCCTATTAGTTTGAATAGCTTTTCTTCTAATTTAGATGTATTTTTCGGACATTATGTACATCGATGAAATATGCATTTTTTGTTTTGTATATCACAAACAATAATTCATGTTTTGATTTTAGATACAAACGCACACAGAATGGGTTCCTGATGAGTTTGGCAAAACACCATTTAGGTCTTAAAACACAAAACTTGGAAAAACCTAACTTTACATGTGGATATAGAATTTTAATGAGACAAATAACTCTTTTAAGCTTGATAAAAGTAGTCGCTTTTGCATATGGACTTTCCAACAAACACTTACAAAATCCTTTTGAGCAGGCATCTGACCAGAGTTCATCTTCATAAGAAGTTTTCACTAAAGTATTTATTTGAACAGGTTGCGTTTTACCTTGCTAAATTTGTGGAACTGCAAGAACTCCTTCCATCTTTGCTAAAGATCTAGATTTTGTTATTAGATAATTTGAAACACCAAAATCCTCAATAGCTGCCTCAATTGACCATTCTTGTGGGCACAAAGTCAATACTTGAACTTTGTCCTTAAATGAACTGCATTTTTTAAGTTTATCTTTCATCAAAACAACCATTTTCCCCCAATACTCATACGATTTGCAAATGGTTTTCCGTAAAGCTTGACTGGTGACACACCAATTATACTGAGACAATGAGAAAGTTCTTATCTGTTTTTACTTATATCAGCTTCTTGTTGAAGTTCAATGTTTTCTTTATTTATACTTTCATTTGTGCAATCATCGACAATTTCAGTGGAAGCTTTTAATTTGGCTTAGCAATTCGTACAAATTTTTTGACCAGGTACAATATTGAACCTGTTGTTTAAAGCTATGGTTCTTAACGTGACTTCTCTGAGAGATGCTAAATTAAAAAATATAACTTAATAAAATAAAATGTTCCTAGAATTAACAAACATAAAGAACTTAAAATTATATATATATATATATATATATATATATATATATATATATATATATATATATTTTGTTATTTAGGTGCCCCAAGAAGTCCTTACGGTCTTGTCACAGAGCACCGCGGAATTGCATTTAACCAGGAAGTTCACGCCTCCTTCCTTACCGTGACGCGAAATATGTCCAAAGCTCGTTTCGAACCTGGATCTCCTGCTTATAAAGCAAGCGCTCTAACCACTGCGCCACGGCCGCATATTTTTGATTATGACATTATATATAAATTATGACAAAGTAACATTTATAAAGGACTTTAATTCAAGCTTTACTAACCCTTACACGGTCTTTTGTGAACTAACAATGGATCACAGCATTTATTCCGAAACACAGGGAACTTCTCAAGATAGAACTTTTGATGATGAATAAGTCGATAATCAAAACAGAAGAAACACCAGACCTTAGCGCATCTAAATTTTGCTCATCTGGAGTTAAAACTTGAAAAAAGTTTATTAAAATGTGGTTTGTAAATGTTAACTTGTGACAATTTAATTTTTAAATCAATCTGAGTATTATGTTACCGCCATTATAAAAATATTTAATTTTATAAAACTATCATTAAATAAATAATAATTTCTCGCTGGAGTATTATAATCAAAAATTCAAATGTTAGAACGAATCGCATTTAGTTAATAAAAGAAACCAGAAATTCATTTTTAACTAAATAAGTGTTATCACATGATTACACTTACTTAGTTTAGTTAAAAATAAAAATGAATTTCTGGTTTCTTGTTTAATGGAACAACTGGTTCTAACATTTGAGTATTAATGAAAATACTTGTGAGAAATCATTATTTTTTTGCGAGAAATTATTTGTAAATCTTTAAATGGAGAACCAAAGAGAAAAAATGTAACAATGAAACAATAATAAAATAGATATGTGCATTAAAAAATAGGAAATAATTTTTGCCTTTAACAGGCAATTATATATAAACTATTATTGTAAAGACTTTAAGTGAATAGATCTTTTCTGCAATTAATCTTAAACTAGACATGATTACTAAGAAATTATTGTTTAAAACCCAGTTTGCATTTCAAAGTTTTTAATCAAATATAAGAACTAATAACTTTAAGTAATGATTTTTGATTTCTTTCTTCAAAACTTGCAGTTTTAAACATATTAAATTTTGTAAACGTACGGTTAAAGTTACTGTGTATACTTTAACATTATAGTGTTGCTATAAACGTTGCTAAGAGTGCGGAAAATAAAAAAATTTGAAAATTCTTAAACTTTAAAGACCCATAGCCCTTAAAATAATGAAATTGACTCTAAATTATTTCTGATTATTCCTAACGACACTATTAACTGCATTTGTGCCAAAAAGTATTTCTGAGATAGTAGGTTATTTGGACTTGTTGTTTAAACATGGAATTACACACACACGTTTATTTAGTTATTCAATTTGCTTATTCTGATTAATCTAATCGAATCATCTACCTATAAGAACGTCATTTATTCTGATCACATTTTCATCACTCGCTCTGCAATAAATGTTATCGCCGAAATAGATATTTTATAGAGCTTTAAATACAAGTCCAGTTAAACCGTTATTAAGCCAGGCGAGTGTTTTATAAAAAAAAAAAAAAAAAAAAATTATGAAAGCATTCATGATATAGATTCGTATTATGTAAAATGAACATCAAGAAAAAATCAAAAAATTAAAATTGTAATTAAAGATTCGGGTGTTGATACATTTATATTTTTCTTATTATTATTAACAAAATGTATAAAACATTATAGACTCCGCTAGTAATTTAAACAAAAAATTAAGCTATTATTATTTCTTTCAAAACAAAAAAGAAATAGGGTAATTGCAAATTATAAACAAAGACAATTATAGTTTATAAATTCAAAATTATACAGCCTAAATATAAAAACAGAACAGCTTAAAAATGATTAGAACCTTTAAAGACTCAATATCAAAAGTACTATTTAAAATTTCACTTGACCGAAAGAACTACTTTCGTTTACCACGATAGTGCTTTTGTGGTTTCGTATAATTTAAAGGATTGTTTGAAGAGTATTCACCAGAATCTCCGGAATTCGAAGATAAAGCATTGTCACGCTTTTTTAATTTTGAGTCAACATTATCATTTATTCCGCCATGAAAATCGTTTAAACGTTTACGATTATCGTGCATTTCCTCCGCAAATACACTTGATCTGTTGCGGTTTTCGTTATTCTTCTCCGCATAAACATTCGCCCTACCACTTTTGCTGTAACTGACATTCTCGGAAAAAGAATGATCATAATTTGACTTATGCTGCTTTGAACCGTCGTAAACATTACGATTATAATACATTGAACGAAAGTTATTTTTATTATTTCTATTACTTTCGAAATTTCTATCTTTGTTAGAGTCTCTGTGTATTATCTCTTGATTATCACTTCGGTATCTTTCTATTTCATTATTGCGCAATTGATTTCCTCCTTCGCGGTACTTATTCTCACGTTCATGTTTTTCGTCGGTTCGTTGGCGACGAGAATCTATCTTTTCTTGGTGATGCACATCAACTCTCTGATAATCATCTCTGTTTTTCTGATGTAAGTCTCTGTTAAAAAAGTAAATGTTTATATAATAGTATCTATCTTTGAATCATTATACAATACATCTTAAATACAATATACAATGTTGTGCACATTTTTATAGTTGAATACAGAAGTTAGAGTTCTCTTTTTATGCGTTTATATTTGTTGTTATATGCATATTTGCTGCATTATGATTAGTGTGTTGTACGTCTGTTAGATGTTGTATTAAAAAAATAAAATAAATCGTGTTATTGCATAAAAAATGTCTTCGATGTATAAGTTGCACAGTATACAATGTCTTTTATGTGTTGTTTTAAAGACATACAAGTCTATTATAAAAATAATGTTATTTAAAGGTCTTCTATGTGTTAGTTAATAATAAATGTTTTCTTAAAAACAAAAACACAATTTCAAAAAGATGTTGGTGAGAAAAATAAAATTATCAAAACTATTAAAAAGTAAAAAAAAACAAAACAACCGATATTATCAAAACAATCATTAAAAAAAAAAAAAAAAACCAAGACATAAAGTAATTATTACTAAAACAAAAATAAAATAATACCTTTTTTCAGTATTTGAACCATACTTTCCTGACGTTTTTTTAGTTTTTTCATCAACCTGTCTTGATCTTAATATTCCATGATCTTCAGATTGCTCAATGAGAGCTTGTTTTTCTCCAGCTTTTTCATATGATTTTCTTCGAGACCCATCAGACATAGGAGAGGCAACAACTTTTTGTGATCTAACTGGAGTAGTTGAAAAAGGTGCTTCCCAATGGCCACTTGATTCAGCCACTTGTATATCTTCTAGACTAGGTTTACAGCTTTTTCTTGATTCTTTAGGAAATGGCAAAAATCCAGAAAATCCGCCAGCTCTAACTTTAGAGGCCATAGCAACCTCAGAAGTATCATCTACTTGAGAAAACGATTTGCTGAAAAATGCATCAGATACCTCAACTGATTGACCAGGTTCATCATATTGAATATTTTCAGCACTATGAAAACTTTTAGACCTTGAATTTGATTTTACTTCTTTATCGAATCGTGAATCTCTTGGTTTTTCAAAGATAGAATCTCTTTGCAATATTCTTAGTGTATTTTCAGAGTGATTTTCCCTAGATACTCCTTTTCTTTTATGATCTATTTCAATTGAATCTTTTTTCTCAAAATAAAATTCTTTTTGAGATATTTGAGTAGTTTTGTTGATATCTTGAGTATCCCTTAGATCAAATCTACTCTTCTTTCGATTCTCATCATTTTTTTTTCTACTTGAATGAGAAACTATAGATTTCTCAAAACTCAACTCTCGTTCTCCTTTACTGACTTGATGCTGATTCGGTATTTCATCTTTAACATCACTAGTTGAATGTACTTTATCAATGCTATCGCCTTGCAACTTTTGCTGAGATTTGTTACTTCGATGTTTATCCCTGGTACCTCGAGAACTCTTTCTACCTTCACTGTCTCGTATACCATGTCTTTTCCAGTTATCATCTTCAGAATCCAGTTCTAAATCATCATCAGATTTAAAAACGTTAAAAACTTCTTCTTCACAAGGCGGAGTATCAATTTCATCATCTTGCAAAGCAATTGCACTCGGATCTTTAGAAAGTATACCAGAAACACCAACAATCTGATTATCGTCATCATATTCATCATGAATTTCTGTATCTTTTACAATTTGTTCATCACTCGCAACATCAGATTTATTTACATTTGAGGATACTAGTTCTTTTTTTAATTGTTCTCTCAGTTCATCACACAACTTGGCCTTTTGTTCTTCAAACCAAACTTTAAGCTCATCTTCATTTAGAGCACCCTTTCGTTCTTTCTTTACTTTACGTTTTTGATTTTTTAACTTCTTCAATGACTTTTTCTTGATTTTTCTCTTTTTCTTTTTCTTTTTTTTAATGCTGTCATCACTAGTATCAGAATCGTTATCAGTTGAATCACTATCGCTTGATGAGCTGTAATGCTTTTTAGATTTTTTCTTTTTTGACCTCTTTTTTTTCTTCTTCAATGAATCAGATTCTTCTGTTGATGACGAGTCTTCACTCGAGTCACTTAAATCAGTTTCACCCTCTTCAGACTTTTCAGTTTCATTTAGTTCAGATTTCTTGCTAGTATCCTCTGATTTTGCATCACTATCGTCTGATGTCAAAACTTGGTTTTTAATATCTATGTTTTCTTTTGTTAACAAAATATGATCACTATGGCTGGTTTCAACTTTAATGTGAGGTGCATCATGATATTTTTCAGTTGTTGTATGACGTAACTCACTAATTGGCCTGTCTCTTTTCTCAGAATTTATGTAAGGGACTCTTGCAAAATTTTCTTTTTGTTGTTCTGCAATACCTTCATGACAATCAGTCACAGACGTTTCATAAGTTCCTATAGAGGAACCTTGTGAAGATTGTTTACTATCATTTAACTTTTTTTCTTGAGTTTTGGTGGAAACGTTTTCTGAACTCATTTCTTTTTTATCAGGAGCATTAATAGAATGTATAGCAACATTAACATCTAATGAGTCAATCTTATTTTCTTGACGTTTTAATTTAGACTTCTTTTTTGTTTCAATTTTTGATTCAATTTCTCTTAATTCTTCTTCCATTCTCTTTCTTTGAGCATTTGTTGATTCTTTCTCTCTCAACTTTTCTTCGTCCATTCTTTTACGCTCAGCTAAACGAGCTCGTTCAACACTATTTGAACGTCTGTATGCAGTACTAAACCTAGATCCTTGAATATTACCTCTATCATTACGACGATCAGGAATCCATCTTGCTCTTGGTGGAGAAAATCTTCTTTGTGAATGTTGAAACCTATTTTGATGAAAATGACCTCTCCCATACCGAGTATTGTTATTAAAACGACCAACTTCTCTTCTAATTGGTCTTCCATGCTGTTGCCAAGCTGGTCTATAATTGTCTTGAACATAACGATTTCTTGGTGAACGTGAACGCCTTTGACGAGGGCTTATTCTCCGCGGACTTCGACGTTGAGGACTTTTAGATTGATAGCGTTGTTTTCTAATATTAGAGTCTTTGCTTCTTGCAGTATCATCTTTTGAAAAATGTCTCTCCTGATCATTCAAAACTCTATCCTGAGACGTATAAGATTTAAAAACATCATTTTGAGCATCATTACCACCTTCATCAGCATTATCAATAAATTCTCTTGAACTAGAATTTTTCATTTTTCTTGATTCATCTTTTGATAAAACAACTGCAGACCTATTCTTATCTCTTCCAACAGATACTTGAATTGTTTCAGGATTTTCATCTATAATAGCTAATTTTTCATTTGCTTGCTTTATATCATCATCATTATCATCATCAATAATTTCAATACTTTCACCAAAATCTTTGCTTTCACATTCAATATTTCTTTTTTGTATTTTTCTTGTGTCTTCTTTATTAGCGGTAAGTGTAAATTTCCGGCTAACTTCTTGAGTAAAACTGTTATCTTTGTTTATAATTTGTTCCCCAGTGGATTTTGATGTTAGATTTTGACGAATACCAGAGAATTGCTGCTGGTTCGATGCCGTTGATGACTGGATCTGAAACCAATTAACAAACTGAAGCTAAAGTTAAAGCAATTCTTGTAACAAGAGGCGGCTATACCTGAAATAGCAAATTGACGCATTCAATTAACTAAATCGTATGCCCTTTTTGGTAAAACTGTTAGATGTACAAATCATGAGAGACAATTGTTTAGGAATATTTTCTCTTCAATGGAACTGCAGGTTTTGATAATTAACAAAGATCCCTCAGCTAACATAATAATTACATATTTATAATCTACTCGAAAACCACACTAGTATTGAAGTACTTTGAAACAACTTTTTTGAATTGTTGTTATTAGTTGCATACTTAAATATCGCAGCCAGATTGAAACATTTGATGTTGCATTTAGCAAAATACAATCCTAAAACAAAATATTCTAATTAATAAGTATATTAAAATACCTTATCTATTAAACAACTAAAATATTTTATCCTTTAATTATTATCAAAAATATATCAGGCATTGACTGGAAGAGTATTTGATGCACCCCTTACAAAAATTCAATAAAACTTTGTTTATGAAACTTATTTTTATATATAAGATTTGTTGATAGCCAGGGTTAGAAAAAAATTTATAATACTAAATATATAATATAATTTTATGCTTACATTTACTATTTATTAAAAACTGGTATGCATTTATATATTTTAAAAATTTCCAACTAGATTGCAAGCAACCACTATTAAGTTATGAATTACTTTAAAATAGAGAAACAAGTTAAAATACTAGGAAACATATCACTGAAGACTTGAAAAGTTAAAAGTTGTATAAAAATGGAAAAAAAGTTGTAAGATTTTTTTTGATGTTCAAGGGAAAAAACTGAATTAATGAAAGTTTTTATAGCATAAAGGGACAGATAAGGTAAAAGGATGCAACTTGTTGAATAAAAATCCAAGTAAGAATGAGTTTTAATATATTATTATAGAAATGATCAATGTATATATTATTATAGAAATGATCAATGGTCAATGCTCGTTTGAGCATTGACCATGACTGTATTTGTAGAAAAAAGAAAGAAATGCAACCTTACAACAATGGGAGAGTGGCTCAAGCTCGGCAGATAAAGCAGGTCTAATTACATTTACAATATGCTTTTAGACTTTGGCTAAAAGTAAGAGGGTTGTTATTCGTCAATATAGGAATGCCAACAATGTTGTAATATTTATTTACAGTAAATAAGTTTTGTAGTCTAACAAAAATTGTGGATTTTAAGTCTATTGTGAAGTCAATTGTGGATTTTAAAGCTATGCAAGCCTTAGGTTGTTACTGAAGAAAGATCAGATTTAAAATCGGCTGCTTGTTCTAAGCAATTAAAAAGTGAAGATTTTTTATCAAGACAATAGTATAAAGTTGTGTTGTCAGCAAATAGAGCCACTTAAGACTTTATGAAGATCGTTATTGTAGATAAGAAACAATACAGGAGCCAAGATACAATCTTGTAGTACCCTTAAAGCTATTTGAAATAAAGAAGACAGTAGGCCTTCAAGAATAACTTTACTAATGCAGTTAGAAAGATATGATTTAATAACCTAAAAAACCTTTATATAAAGAAACTAGTAACAGAGTGAAGGCATGTTGTAGGATAGTCGGAAAGGTTAATGTTTTTTCTAGAGTTTTGAAAAATTGGAACCACCTTATTTAGCACTTTTTAAAAGTTTAGCAAAAATTGAAGTGAGTTCTGGAGAACAAACTTGAGATTTAACTTTAGCATTGGAAGCTTTAGATGTTTGAAGGAAGATTTAGATGTTTGACAATGGGTTAATCTGTTTAACTCTAAGGAAGAGTATGGTCATTATATTCAAGAGTCAAATCAGAGTAAGATTTCTTTGCAAATAACTGTCTTATTCTGGGGAGAAATAAAAAGATCAGACCCATGAATTAGAGATTAAATGTTAGACTTACTTTAGTTAATGACATTGTTGAAGACTAACCACAAGTCTCTAGAACCTAATGTCTGAGATATGATACAAGATTTAGTAAACTGAGAATAACAGAGCTTAACATCAGCCAGGACTTTTTTACATAGGCTTTTTGCAATAATAAAGGACATTTGTTCTTAAGAAAGATGTTCTTGTAAAAAAGATGAAAAAAAAAAAATAATAATAATAATAATGTTTAATAAAGCGACTGCTCAAGATGGTGGAAAATGTGGAGTAGAATGAGGCTAGACTTAAAATTGAAGAAAACTAATAAAAGCTTCCAAACTTATATTCCATAAGGAATAAAAGCTTATAAGATGCATTTTATGCATACTGTTTATTGATATAAACATGTTTGCTATTTATTTTGACGCTGTCATACTTAATTCTTTTATTGTTATATAAACTTTAGTATTAATATGGTACAGTATTTGCCAAAAGAGAAGACGATTAGATGGATGTGTGGTGTGACTCTAGCAAGACAAGAAAAGAAGGTATAATCTTAGACAGATTAGAAAAAACGCTGTATCAAACAACATTTGTTAGAAAAGATTAAAGTAATTTAGGTATCAGCATGTAGAGAGGTAGCATCTTCAGTAGAAAATAGTAGCGGTAAAAGTAAGAAAAATTGAAGAGAGTACCTTACACATTGTATGAATGAGCTTAAGTTAAGAAAAAAAATGCTCTAAATTGTTAGAGGAACAGCATAAAAGAGGCTAAGACCTGATGATGATGATGATGATGATGATAATGAAGATGATTATCATCATCATTATCATGATAACAATGATTATGATGATTATGTTGATTATAATGGTGTTTATATAATCATATATATCCAAAATATAACATGAATTTTGAATTAAAAAAATATACTTTAGGGTGTATGTTTATGCAGACCCGGTCAAAAACCTGGCCCCAGCTATATTTTATCAAACCCGCTCACTTACTACTTTACAGGAAATATGAAATAAGTAAGTAAAGATCTGGTTTACATGCTCACTAGATTCAACTTTTGTAGATATTCACAGAATTATTGTAGATAGTCACAGAATTATTGATAGCATTTTAATGATTTGATTTAATGGTAATAAACAGAATTGCCACATGTAAAGCAACCATATTAATATCAAAAAATTATCTTATGCTATTTTGAAATATTAATATTTTTTGTGCTGAATTTTGTTCTTTTCCACTAATAAAACTTTAAATCAACAGCAATAAACTAATCATTATTTTTAATAAATCAATGTTCAGAGTTTTTATTTAGTTACATAAAATTATACAACCGCGGTATGAATTGTTTATTGAGCTCTTTTAGTATAAAAAAATTCAAAGGCTCCAGCTAATTTGATATGTTTTCAAAGTTGTTTTTTATATTTTTATATGTTTTTATTATTTATAATAAAAATTGAATCTTTTAAATAAATTTTGCTAAAAAACTATTTATGAAAGTAACATGAAGTATTATGAGGCAAAATTATTATAATATTACAAAATTATTATAAAATTAATTTGTTTTAAACATAGTTTTTTAGCAAAATTTATTTAAAAAAATTCAATGTTTATATTGGCTTATATATATGAAAATCCCGGAAATTTTTTTCTATGAAATTCCTGGAACATCCCGGAAAATTATTTTATTAAAAATTGATTGTATTAACTGACAACATAAACTTTTGTAAACTTTTAAAACAGAACTTAGATTATTTAACTTTTTACAAAAAGGAATTTCTAATATTTGAAAAAGTTAATTAGAAAGAATTAAAAAGCAAAAAGAAAAAATAATTGTTATGAAAATTAATCTTGTGAAAATTTTAATTATAGAAAAATAATTGGGATATTTGTTAAAATGCAAAAGTTGTTGTATTTATAATTTTATATAAAAACATAAATTTTTTTAAAAATTAATAACAAAAAACATCCGGAACTTTCTGGAAAATTAAAAGTTTCAAGTGAATTTCCAGAATTCCCGGAATTAACTCATTTTGATTTCTTGATTGTTTATTACATAATAATATTGTTTATTACATAATATTGTTTATTACTTATTAATTTTATAAGCATTTACTCGGAAATTTTTTACAGTCTAACATATTAACTGAAATTCACATTTTTAATGTATATGTTTAGTGGTGTGTTTGGGCATAAAGGCACTTCATACATCAGACATAAAAACAGACACACCCTGTAAGGAGAAGTGTTTAATTACAATTTTTTTACAAGTTCTGGGCAAAAATGGGCATGTTAAAAGTAAATGGACAGGAGAGGGGAGAAAGGGGAGGAGAGAAAGGGCAGGAAAGAGCTAGGGCTATATAAAAACTGAGTTCAATTCAGGTCTAATTAAAGACTTATTTCCAGTATTGATTATGAAATACTTTTAAATTTATATATACTTTATATTACAATATATAATACAAACTAAAGTACAACAATAACTTTATTTTTTTAATGCATTTTAGGCAATTTTTATTGTTCTGATTTTGTAAGTTCCCCATGAGTACTCACTTTTTTTCTCTCCCAAAATCACTGTAATAAAGTATGTTAAGAAAAAAAAAAAAAAAAAGGTCTTGTTAAAACCAGTGTTGATCCTAGGTTACACTGGTGGTTTGAAGTAGAGGCATATTTTCCTAAGTTTTAGCCGCAGCCATTTTTAGATAATTTTTAATTTCTATTTTTCATCCTCTATAATTTTTTACTGATTTGTATTTTTTATCAGTAAATTTCTAAAAACTCGAAAACCTACCATATATAGGAACAGGGGCGTGATGGCTGTAAAAGACCAATGTAGGATTTTGTTAAATTAAAAAATAAATTTTGTTATATGCGGGATTTTACCATATACAATGGATGTAAAGGCCCATACATGCCTGGTAAAAGACAGCATCTATCTGTCAAATTGTCAGACTCATATTTTGTGTGCATTTATTTTATAATTACTTTATTTATTCTAAAATTAATAATAAATTTAGTATTAAGTATAAATTTCAATTTTGAATTTTTTACTTTTTATACAAAAAAGAAAATGAAGCTACGTTAATAAAAATTTGTCATTTTTTGAGCTAATTCATTTTTTAAAAGACTCCTAAACATTTAGT